AACACTGTTCCCCTCCCCCAATTCCCCAATAAAATCTTTAAAAAAAATCAGGAGGGATATCTCAACTGTGGAGGTCCCCCCCATGAGAAGCAAGTGGTCCCAGACCCACACCAGGTTCCCCAGCCCAGGAATCTAGGGCCAGAAAGAGAAGTCCCCGTAACTTCTGGCTGTGAAAAGAAGCAGAGATTGTGGATGAGTGAGACAAAGCTGTTGGGAATCCCAGGGGCTTCTCTTAAAGGGCCCACACATGGACTTACTTGTTGACGGAATCACTCACTCTGCGCTCCAGCACTGGGGCAGCAGCAAGAAAAGCACCAGGGACATACAGGAGGGAACTGAGTTATCTGGCTTTAGAGCAAGTGCTGGAGTGGAGGGGCAGCTTTCTCCCAGACAGAAGTGCTGGCAGAATCCATTGTTTCTTTGTTGGGCCCTATCCCCTCCCAGTGTGCAGATGCAGGCGACCACCATATCAGAGTCTTCATCAACCTAGCTAACACTGTTACTTCGCCCAGCCCCAGTGATTTCCTGAGACCCTGCCCCACCCAACTTTCAGGCCCACTCAAGCCGCTTCCAGTGGCTTTTCTATATAAATGCCCTGTCTTGGATCAAGCTGAGGACTTTCCTAAAATCTCTAAAAGGTTCACAAAACCCAAACAAGCAACATCTGGCTTTGGAGTGTTCTGTATCTCTGGCTGAGCAGCCCCAAGCCCAGCATTAGCAACAGCAGTCCATGGTTTATGGTGTGGCCTCTCAAGGCACTTCCAAGACCAGCGCAGATGGTGGCCATCATCAGATTGCTTTTTGGCTTATGCCAGGTGGCCCCAATCAAGAGGCCCCGGGGCTGGCCAGTACAGTGGCCAGCTTAGGACCAAAACAGAGCATCACCTGGCCACCTCCATGGGTGGCACACCCAAAGGGCAGACTGGGCAGGCACCAGAGCCCTGCTTAAACAAATGCTGCTCTGCAGGATCAGTCCATACACCACAGCTCTTCCACTGTAGTCACGGCCAGTGCTCACAACCAATGAGGCCAAGGGTCAACTCCTCCCACTAATGTGCAAACAGCAACTCAGGCTCAACTACAACAGGAGGGCACACACAACCCACATAAGTGACACATCTGGAGCATCAGGATCTGGTGACCAGGGAGACTGTGCCACTGAACCGCACCAGACACCTACTACATAAGGCCACTCTACTAAGACTGGGAGGCATAGCAGCCCTACCTAATACATAGGAACAAACACAGGGAGGCAGCCAAAATGGAAAGACAAAAAAACAAAACAAAAAAACATGTCCCAAATGAAAGAAAAGAACAAAGATCCAGAAAAAAAACAAAATGAAGGCAAGCAATCTACCAGACACAGAGTTCAAAACACTGGCTATAAGGATGCTCAGTGCTCTCAGGGAGTACTTCAACAAAGAGATAAGAAACATAAAAATAAAGACAGAAAACAGAAAAGAAAGAAAACATAGTCAGAAATAAAGACTACAATAATGGAAATGAAGAATACATTAGAGGGAATCAACAGTAGATTAGATGAAACAGACGATTGAATCAGCGATTTAGAATGTAGCAGAAAACATCCAATCAGAACAGCAAAAAAAAATGAGGATAGTTTAAGGGGCCTCGGGGACAACATCAAGTGTACCAACATTCACATCAGAGGGCTACCAGAAGAATAGAAGAGAGCAAAGAATTAAAAACCTATTGGAAGTAATAATGACGAAAAACTTCCTTCACCTGGCAAAGAAAATAGACATACAAGCCCAGGAAATGCAGAGAGTCCCAAACAAGATGAACCCAAAGATGTCCACACCAGTACACATCATAATTAAAATGCCAAAGGTTAAAGACAAAGAGAGAATCTTAAAAGCAGCAAGAGAAAAGCACTTAGTTACCTACAAGGGAACTCCCATAAGAGTTGCCACCTGATTTATCTACAGATACTTTGCAGGTCAGAAGGGATTGGCACAAAATATTTAAAATGATGAAAAGCTAGGACATACAACCAAAATTACGATTAGCTACCTAGCAAAGCTATCATTTAGGATTGAAGGACAGATAAAGAACTTCCCAAACAAGAAGCTAAAGGAGTTCCTTACCACTAAACCAGTATTACAAGGAATCTTGGAGGAACTTCTTCAAGATGGGAAAAAAAAGATTAATAGTATGAATAATGAAATGGCAATAGCTACATATCTATGAACAATTACTTTCAATGTAAATGGATTAAATGCTCCAATCAAAAGACAGGGTGGCTGAATGGATGAGAAAACAAGACCTTTACATATGCGGCATATTCATAGATACAGAGGACATTCTGATGGTTGCCAGATGGGAAGGGGGGATGCAGGGCAGTGTGAACATGTGAAGGGACTAAGAAGTATAAATTGGTAGCTGCAAAATAGTCATGGGGATGTAAAGTATAGGGAATATAGTCAGTAATATGGTAATAATTATGTATAGTGCCAAGTTGGTGCTAAATTAGTCAGGGGGGATCACTTCTTAAATTACATAAGTGTTTAACCACTATGCTGTACATCTGAAATTAATACAAAATAATATTGAATGTCAACTGTAATTGAAAAATTTTAAAAGGGGGGAAAAGATGAAGGTATATAAGAGGTTCATATTTCCAGGTATAAAATAGGTCATGGGGGTGTAATGTGCAGCATGGGGAATACAGTCAATAATATTGTGATAGCGTGGTACAGTGTCAGATGTTTGCTGGAGTTATCATGGTGATCACTTCTTTAGGTAAATAAATGTTGAATAACTATGGTGTACACCTGAAACTAATATAATATTGTATGTTAGCTATATTTTAATAAAAATCTTTTTTTAAAAAAAACAATATGAGTTTTCATATTATCTTTGGTTTAAAAAAATCTCCTGTTTCTAAGACAGCTTTAGATGTGGTCCTTGAGTTATATCAAATACTCATGTCTCCTCTAGGTGTACCAAAGCATTAGCGATATTAAATTTGCTTTTTTTCTTATTATTCTTTTGTCTTTCAATTCTGAAGATGACTGTGATTAAAACATACAATTGTCTTATGCATCCAAAAAAAGACCAGGACAGAAGTGAGATTTCTATAGTTTAGAATTTGTAACCATGCAAATGTTTTACATATTCTAGGCATTGATCTGAATTAAAAAGAAAAAGTACAATATCTAAAAACGAAAGCAAACTGAAACAAATATACTCAACTCTATGTAAAATATAGTATGTGCACTGTAGACTTTTAGTAGGATTTAGTCCAGGGGCAAAAAGAACAAATTTATTTCAAATTCCATGCAGTCATCTCATTATCAATAATAATATTAATACCATTAATTTGAAACAAGTTTTTACATATTATATGATAAATCAGGCAAGTTATGAAGACAAGAAAAAAAAGAGGCAGGAATATCAGAAAATCACTAAACTATATGACCTCTGAAATTCCTCTATGTACTTAAAAATATAATTTTCATTCAAATATTGAAATCAGTCAATAGCTTTTTGCAGGAGGCATATTACTTTTTTCACCATCTGTCCTTGACTACATTTCAAAACCTTATTTCCTAACATGCTATATAGTCTAGTCCGGTGGCTCTCAACCCTTGTTGATCAGAATAATTATATTAAAAAACAGATCCTGGATGTCACACTTGAGTTATCAAAAGAGAATCTCAGTGGGAGCAATCAGCAATGTATACTTTGGGAAGAAACCCTGGGTACTGCTGCCGCTCAGTCAGGGTAGAATCCCTGCTCAAGCCCCACTTCAGTTCCTCCAACATGGCAGGCTCTAAATAGGGGTCAGCACACCATGGCTCACAGCCCACATCCAGCCCAATGCCTGTTTTTGTAAAGAAACTTTTATTGGAACATGACTATGCCCATTTGTTTACCAACTGTCTATGGCCACTTTCCTGCTACCATGAAAAGGCTGAGTAGTCTCAACAGAGACCACATGGCCTGCAAAGCCCCAAATATCTACAAAGTGGCCCTCTACAGAAAAAGTTTGCTGTCCCCTCCTCTATCTGCACTTTCCCTCAAATACTACTCCTGTCTTGGCAAGCTCATGCTCATCCTTCAAAACTCCAATTAGCATCACTTCTGTAAAGCCTGAACTGGGTTAGCACCTTTGTGTCTTTTTCACCACCCTCTGTACTTCCCCTATATTACTCATCAATCTTTATTCTAAGATGTCTGCTTAATGACTACCTCCCTGATTAAACTGTAAGCTCTATGAGGGCAACACCCAGATGTGTCTTGTTTATCACAGTGTCTGCTTCACTGCATGCATATATTAAACATTTAATTAATGAATACCTCCCACATTCTGTACATTTTCCCCCATTTTGTTAGATTTCTCGATGTCCCAAGTCTGTTAAAGGGGATTCTAAATCCAGAATCTATCAGTGTGTTTGTAATCCCATCCTGTTGTGTCCTCCACAGATTTGATGTGCACACTATTGGAGTTCTTCCTCGAGTCATTAATGCTGGAAATGACAGGGCTGATGATAAAGTCCTAAGAAGATGCCCACCCATCCTCTTCTGTATTTTGACATCAATCTACTAAATAATCAACAGTCTTTGACTAAGACGTCAAGTCTAATTATAATATTATCTAGCCTACATTTCCCATCTGTCTAGAAGGATTTTATGAGAGCTTCCACTTCTCTGACTTTTCTTACCTGGCACCACCTCTATTCAAGCAGAACTGAATAATCACTCCCCCATCCTTCTCACAACTATACCTTTTCTCTACATTACTATGTAATAATGTTTACAAGTCTGTCTCTGCCACAAGTTCAAGTCTTGGAGGGTAGAGACTTACTTAAGCTAACTTTGATTCCCCAGAGCCTACCATGATGCCCAAAATTTAGCTGGTACCCAAAATGGAATGACTAAAATGTTGTGCAATTCAGACACACTAAATTTATGCATTTCCTATTTCTGCCATCATAGTATTCCTATATAAAATCTAAAAGTCATTTAAATATCCTTACCTGTAGCAAAAAGGAAACAGAATAACTCAATAGAGCAGGGTGTTGAACCAAATTTAAGCTGTTTTTATGGTTTTCTACTCCAATTTTTGTAAAGACTTTGGAGTCAATATATGATCCTTTCTGGAAGGGGTTGGATGTCCACAGGCAACCAACCATGGCTGTCAAATAGTGATTATATTCTTCATAGGTCTTGTTGTTGAATATGAACTCTGATTTTGTCTATTGGGAAAGAAAAAAATTGTCATTATCACCTATTTTTCATTTCCTTCTTATTCCCAACAGATCATAAATATCTATACTCAATTTTTAAACAATGGTGACTTAAACAGAGGTTTATCATTCATACCTTTAGTATCAACTCATGTTTCTTTGCAGCTGTTAAATTTTTACGGTATCTAAAAGGGAGAATAAATAGAATGAGCATTTAACATTAAATGCCTTTGAAATGTAAAACATAAATAAAAGTGTACACTTTAAATGTAAACACATGCAGATATGCATACAGCTGTCTAGTTAAGGTTTTTAACCTTTTTTGGTATAGTCTCCTCAAGGAATAAAAATCATTAGTGGCTCAAATATTGAGTTGTACATTTAAGATACGCATGCAATTGTATTTAAGTTATACTTTAATAAAAAAGAAAAAAACAATTAAAGAAATGCTTTTAATGTCTCACTGTCAAGAAATTAATAGAAGCTCAAAAGCAGTCAGTCACTAATACAGAACATATTTTCTTAATGTGGAAAAAAGTTGCAGTAGAAAAGACAAAGAGGAAATTTAAAAATGCAATCTTTTTTTCCTGCCTGAGTACTATTATCTGGTTAGTTTTTAAACAATTTAACCTTGGCATAGTCCTGCAAGTTATGCCAAAGGAGTCTATACTTATGGACTAAAGAGAGTCATTTCAGTCCATAAGTGAAAGAAGTAGAAGGGACCAGAAATAATACTTAGTTTCATGTAATTGGCAACATCCCTTCACCCCCCAGAAAATGTTATTTTCACCAGAGAAGCTACATAGACCTAAACAAGATGTAAGTAAATGACTAATTTTTTTAAGATATAGCAATGAGTATTAACAATGCTGAGTGAAGTAGTACCACTGCACAAAAGATTCTTAACTATGAATTTTTTAAATCTATATCCCCCATAGTGATGTAAAAAAAAAAAACAGTTAAAATAGCCTCATATTGGAAGGTCATTCCCAAAGGAATGTTTCCTATTTCCATAGGCCCTCGCAGAAAATAGCTAATAATTGTATTGTTTAATATTTTATTGTATTATATACAACAAATTTATTATAGTGTGTTTATAAATTAAATTTATAGTTGAAAAAAATAAAGATAAAATTATGATGTACTAATTCATAAACCAGTAAAAACGCTTTGTACCTGTGCATTATGTAACAGAGCTGGTTCAGGATACTGGAATCCAGACTGAGGAGTGCGAGATAGAAGATTCCAGGAGGGAACACCACCACCAATGGAAGGTTATAATTTATATATATGTCACACACCTTTTGGGAAGAATGATAACATCAGTAATATAGATAATTCCCCAGAACCCTTCAACCAACTTCACCCAAGGAATCATCAGTAAAGAACAAGCAATAACATAATCCCAGGTTGGAGAGTGCCTAATTCGTAAATAGAATAGGTAGCCACAAGCCTGCTTAAAAATGTACCTCACCAAAAGAAACAAACAAAAACATGTACGAGGCCTGACAATTAAGTTTGTGAACTTATTGCAATGATGTTGCTAACCTTTTTTGATATCAGAGGGATTATTCATTATGAATTTGTACCAACTGGACAACCAGTTAATCAAGTTTACTATTTGCAAGTGCTGAAAAGGCTGTGTGAGAAAGGTAGATGACCTGAACTTTTCACCAATCATTCATGGCTCTTGCATTACGACAATGCACCAGCTCACACGGCACTGTATGTGAGGGAGTTTTTAGCCAGTAAACAAATATCTGTACTGGAATACCCTCCCTATTCACCTGATCTGACCCCAATGACTTCTTTCTTTACCTGAAGATAAAGGAAATATTGAAAGGGAGACATTTTGATGACATTCAGGACATCAAGGGTAATACGACAACAGCTCTGATGGCCATTCCAGAAAAAGAGTTCCAAAATTGCTTTGAAGGGTGTACTAGGCACACTGGCCTTGGTGCATAGCTTCCCAAGGGGAGTACTTCGAAGGTGACCGCAGTGATATTCAGCAATGAGGTATGTAGCACTTTTTCTAGGATGAGTTTGCGAATTTAATGTCTGACCTCGTATCTCACCAAACATCAACCTTATCACAGAGGATTATTTTTAGAAGATTATTCAAATCTTTCTTTTTTTGGTGGTAGGGGGGAGATCTTAGAGTTGGAGAGAAAGGGGAAGGGACCATCTCTTTCTCCTTAAGTCCCATAAATAATGATTTATCATATTAGCTAGCTGTAAACCTCGAAAACAAAGAAGCATGCTTCTAAGCAAATCCAACTCAAGACACCTAGGTATTAGGGAAAGGAGGAGGCCAGGAAAACTGAGATTAGGGGCTACTTCCTGAATAACAGTTCTATCCAGGTCAAATACTATAAAACAATAGAATAGGACCAGAATCATAAGTACTGGGAGAAATAAGGCAGTTGAAAGGTGGAGCAGAGAGCGGAAGGCACTTTCAATTTTTGCCAGGTGTTGGGGATGAGCAAAAAATGAAGCTAGAGACAGACTTCTGCCTAGGGCCAGCACGATCCAGTAGAATGTCTATTAAAGTGGAACCTGGACTTTTCTAAAAAAAAGCATTTGTTTTTCTACTTTGTTTTATGAAAATCGGTTATTCAGGCAAAAATAGAATCATTACCTTCAAAATATGTAGCTTATTCTAACTATGCTAATAAGGTCATAGCCCAACTTAATGATTGTAAATAAAATGTAAATAACACCAGTAAAGCAGAAAGCCATCACAGCAATCGAAATAGGGTAAATGAGACGTGTATTACCTTCTCATAGAAATCCAAAACAAAGTGCAGCAGTAAAGTACTGTTGCTTTCCAATCGCATTGCATTAGTGGAAAGCCACCCTACATAGTGAATCAGTTGAGACAGAGAGTTCATGAACCCACCGAATGTCGTCTCTCTGCAATAAGAAACCAGGACAATGAAATCCACATTAGCAAAAGTGATCCCAATTTCCAAGGTAAAGCTGGATAATATACAACAAAAATTTGTTAGGGGTTTCGGTAAATGATCAGTGCTCCAATGTATAATTCACTTTTTTTTTAATCCAGTGATTAATCATAAAAAGCTCTCTAGTTAACCATTAAGATCAATTCATAGAACTTCCTCTGCAATACTCTACTAGTAAATACCAGATAAATAAAGGATTAAGCCCCAGACAGACTTTAGATAATATTAGATAATACCCAATGTCCAGAGACCACAGCAGTCAGCAAATTAGTTTCTAAGTACACAAATCAAAATCTGGCTTTGCCTGAATTCCTGAGCGAAATTGATGTTAAAAATATATATATATATTTTAGCTGAGCCATCCTGCCACCTGTTGGCAGCTCAGCGGCAGCTCAGCTAGGGCCAGGACTCAAATTGCTGTTATTCAGAGGTTGCACTCTTGAGCGAGCTCTTAACCAACTGAGCCACTCGGCCAGCCCAAAAATATGTTCAATGTCGTTTAACCGGAACCCAGTTTAATCCTAAACTAAGTTAGTAAAATTTTTGGCATCTTTCATTCTTTTAGTAAAAACCATTCTTGGATATTTTATATTCTTCCCAAATCAATGGGATATAATTGGTTCAATTCATCCAACTACTCATCCCTGTCCTTCAATCTACTGTTGAGTGGATTAGGAAAAGACCTACAAATGTGATTTCATAATTTTACCCTGTGACCTACTTAGCCAACAATGGTTATGCACAAGGAAAAGGGAATAGATGATAATGACTCTTTCATTCCCAACCATCATGATAGTTCAGTGTCAGAGCAAGCTGGAAAAGATTAGGCCATTTAAACAGGCAGACATCCATATAGTCAGCCAGCCATTTGCAAAATTATATTCTAACTATGATTTTTGGCAGCACTCGGTTTTGTGTCTGAGATAATTTGAACAATGGAGATTGCTCAGAACATCGTCCTTTGAGTGCTGCTGGCATTTTGGATGAAACTATTTGCTGCTCAGGACTGCCTCCTAATCTCCACCCACTGTAGCATGTTTAACATGTCTGGCTCTTACCTACTAATGATGGCAGCACCCTCTTCCCAGTTACCGTGCCAACCAAAATTGCCTCCTGGAGAACCACTGCTGAGAATGGTTTCCCACCTTTAGCTCCTTGTGATTTATACACAACTATAATTTACTCATCCTTTGACAGTCATATGGCAAATGGTCATGTGACGGAGACATGATATTACACCTATATCCCCAGAATAGAAGATATTACTGAGAACTTAAAAGGGCTATATTATATAATGACAAGTAGAATTATGATAAGAAAAGTTATCTACATTTTATATTCATTTATTTGATTTCAGAATTTTAGAAAGCAGATCTCCTTTTGAAATGCCCTCCCAAAATATATGACACTAATTTAAAAAAAAAGGGATCCCAGGAATTTTGGAAAGAAAATATAGAAATTGTAAAGCACCTATATCAGGATAACTAAGATTTACCTTGCAAGCTGGCCAAGGATTATAGATGCAAACATACTATTCTTAATAGAAGTGAGGTGTTCGAAGAAGTTAAGTGTTTAATTGGAATTTCTTTATGATAGTGGTTCTCAAACTTTAGCTTGCACCAAAAAATTACAGAAGCATTTGTTAAAACACAGATTACAGGGCCCTACCTCCAGAGTTTACTTCGGTAAGTCTAGGGTAGAGCCTGAGAATTTGCAGCTCTAACAAGTTCCTAAGTGATGGTGATGCTGCTGGTCCAGGGACCATACTTTGAGAAGCACAGCTTTACAAGATGTTTTCACTACCCACAAATGCTCTATTTCCTACTAAAAGTGATCAGGTATACATGATATATGGAAGGATTGCAGTAATGAATATGAAGAATTAAAAAGTTTTCCAAGCTACTTCCAAGAAGCTTCTATTCTCTATTCTCCTATTCAAGTAGGAGATCACTACAAGGATAAGAACATATAGAGAAATAAGTCTGGGCCAATATATTATTTATTTGTTTATTTATTTAATTTTTATCTTTTTAGCTGAGCCATCCTGCCACCTGTTGGCAGCTCAGCTCGGGCCAGGACTCAAACTGCTGTTGCTCAGAGCTCGCACTCTCGAGCGAGCTCTTAACCAACTGAGCCACTTGGCCAGCCTCTAGGCCAATATTTTAATCAAGCTAATCACCAGCTATCTGCAACTGAGGCTAAGGGACCCTTATCTTATAAAGAATGTGACTGATAATATAGGGAATTTGAACATTGATTAGATATTTGAAGGTACTAAGAACTATTATTTTAGGTGTTATATTGGTATCATTTTTCAACATTTGAAATGATGTCTGAGTTTTGTTTTACAAAAACCTAGTACTATGAAGAAGAGGAAAGAGAGAGGTGTCCTAGATGAAACAAAGCTAACCATGAGTTGATAAATGTTGAAGCAGGATGATGTGTACATGGGGGTAACATCATACTATTTTCTCTACTTTTGATTATGTTTGCAATTTTCTACAATACAAAGTTTAAAAGAAAAATAATGTTAAAAAATATTGTGGCTGATAATAAACTATAGGAGAAGCCAAAGATTTATGTATTATACCTTGAAAACAACCTGATTAGCAGTTCCTTGAAATTCAGCCTTTTATTCTCACTTTAAGGGTAAAGCACATATTTAACAGTCATCAACATGATGGAAATTCAGGGCTCTTTTTTGGTTCCAAAGTGAAAATAAATTCATATATATATATATATATATATATATACATACACACACATACACACACACACACATACATACACACCCTGTTTCCTCAAAAATAAGATCTAGCCTGAAAATAAGCCCTCGCATGATTTTAGGTGCCAAAATATGGCACCTTGGCATACTGAATATTTTAAGCTGAAGGAGTTTGTGGAAAAGGCACCCTTCTCCCTGAAACAGGTCATAAAACCCTCCTGTGAGGGGTGCATACCCTCCATATCCTGGAGGAATCATGCTAGGGCTTCTTCTCCGGCTAGCTCTTATTTTCAGGGAAACACGTATATATAACTAAAATACAGCAGAGAAACAGAAAAACGAAACTGTACAGCAAAATTACAGATTTTCCTAGCCATCATCAAAATTAACTTTACATATAAGACTACATTTTATAAAGTGAGCTAATCTGAATGGAAGCCAAAGTTCTAATGTCAGCTCTCGAATGTTTTACTATATTAACCTTTTCAAGTCACTTAGGTGCTTAGGCTTTGCTTTCTGATTTATATAATAGAACTTGAAGAATTAACCTTCCTCACATGATTGTGGGGAAGGAGAGTGAAAAGTAACAAAAAAATCAGAAAAGTACAACTAACCATTTACATAAAATGATTAGGTCTCATGCCACACTATAAAACTCCATATGCAAACATTTTTTGTACAGATCACCTCTTGTGGAAGGTGGTAAGATAACTCACAGAGAACTGTCCGGCACAGTTTTCTTGTCGATGTCCATAGAAAGCCACAACAGCCAATTCTGCAGTAGTTCTTTCAGGCTCTCAAGAACACTACACTGAGGGGGCAAAACAAAAAACTCAAAATCAGTCAGACATACCATAGTGTTGACAACTAACAAACTAAACCAGAGGCTTAGCAGTGGAAGGGACCAAGGAGATGAGCTCATCCAATTCAGAACCCAATAGCTGCTACTCCAACCTGCTCAGTCTCCAGGAGGCAGATGAATGCAAGTACAAGTTTATTTGGCCATTTTCTCTACAGGACTGACCCCAGCTTATCAGCCCAGGAGCAGACTCCTGTTTCTCTAAATTACATTCATTTATAATATATATTACATCATCAAATACAACATCACCCACCACTTATTGTCTCTTCTCAGAGATCCTTTGAAGTTGCTACAGGTAAGAGTTTCCCACCCTTCTTAAAAATTTAGATGCAAGTTTATTGGGGTGACAATGGTTCATGAAGTTACATAGGTTTCAGGTGTACAATTTTGTAACACATCATGTGTATATCACAGTGTGTGTTCACCACCCAGAGTAGGTTCTCCTTCCATCACCATATATTTGAGTTTCCCACCCATTTCGCCTTATGCCTATACCTACAATTTACGCTTTATTGATGGTCATAAAGTCTTGTCTTCTGTGACTGTGGGAAACAAACAATTCTAGTCTTTCCTTTCTCAGGCCTTCACTTGATTTTCCAGGGCCTCACTCACATACAAAAATAGTCTTGACAAAAGTGTACTTGGGGCATTTATGAGGATAAATCACAACATCTACAAATTTGAAAGCAATCCATACCATCCCAAAACATAATACAGGAAAGCCTTCTTAAACTTTCTTAATAAACAATGACCCCGATGTTATCTGAGCATCTCCAGTGATAGGGTGCTCGCTGCTACTTCATACAAACAGTTCAATTAATAATTTTTAGAATGTGGATGAAAAGCGGGGTATGTACAAGCTCAGTAACCAAAAGTTACCTCACAGGGTGATCTGATGATAAATTCCTAACTGGGCAGGTCACAGTGGGTAGTCACGCCCCAGGTATTATAACTTCTTTAGTAAAAGGTTTTTAAGCCAGCTCTGACCATTGTTGTCATGCATCTGGGTTAACACACCATTGAAATGCCAGAGTAATCCTCTTTTCCAGACCCCTCAAGGGAGCATATAATCTTAACTATCCTGGACCTCACTTTCTCCCACCTTCATGTAACCTTCCTTACATTGCCTCCTTAATCCCACATGTATAAAATAAACTGCAAAACTGTCATTCTCTAGGGCATTTGAGATCTTGCTTCCCGGCAGGTTCACCAGTTTGGCTCAAATAAACTCTTACAAAAAATTCCTTACAGGTTTGGATGTCTATGTTTCTTATCTAGACAAGAAATGGATACTTCACATTCAGATGTGAATGAAATCTGCTTGAGTTGTGTATTTTCTTGTACCCTATACTTCTCTGTGCTTCCCCCCCCCCGTTTCATTGACCTCATCCTTCCCAAGTCTTTCAACTAGAGTGTCCAGAACTTCTATTCCATGGTAATCTAAGCCCACACCTTCATATTCTTCAAAGTCTGCTTTCTCTGTCTTCTCACTTTCATCATATCCGGGCTCTGCCTTGCTACTCAGTGAGGGCACTGCTCCCTGTGAATACATTTCCATGTCCCACTTCAACACCTCGACACTGCCCTGGCTCCCCACTGCTCAGATGGGAACAGAATATAAGCCCCTTCTTTGAGATGGAAAATATAACGTCAGAAATGAATCTCCCCTTTTAGGAAGGGAGTCAGCTTTAAAATGGTATTATAAAGAAATCCAATGGACTTTCTATTTAATCAAGTGCCACAGGACTTTCTATTTAATCAAGGCACAAAGGCATTTAAAAATGCCTTTTTTAAAAGACTATTTACAAATATTTTGTGAGCTACAGAAGCTAATTAGCAGTAATATTAGCTGAATTTGTTAGGCTAAGATCGAAGACTCCCGTTTTAGATTGCACTCTGCTACTCAGTTTTACTCATGAATTTGACAATCTTTTGGTTTTCTGAACATAACACAAAAGCTATCTATTGTCAACACTATCTTCAAACTATTTCTACTTCCTTATGTAAAAACCCCTTTCTCCTTTGATGTTGACACTATTCAATTACACTTCCTTTTACTTATCTTTCCATATCCCTGCTATTTCCTTGAAACTCATGCACTGAAATTCACTGAGAACCTTAGCACTCTGTGCCTCATGTCCTGCCATCAGCACCTGAGTTATGTCAGTGCCCAAGAAGGTGATCTACCCAATAATTCAGCCCACAGTTCCTTGACCTCAAATCAAATAACCTTCACCTTCACTCTACCTTAGTTACGCACTCCCACAGCCACACTAAACTTTGTCATAATCTAAACTGAACCACCACCAAAATCTATTATCCGTTCTTCTTTGTTATGACCTCCTATTCTTCCAGCTTTCTGACACCATCAACTCCAACTAATTATTCTTGTTCTTCCAACTTTAGAGATATTCAATCCCTTGATTCCTTCATTTTTAATGTCAATTTGCAGTCTTTTCAGCCTTCTCCTGGCCTCACCACCCTATCCAGACTAGACCACACTGTTAAACATTCACAGCTCCTTTGCACTCCATTCAACCAGTGAAACCCTAAATGATTCAATCCCATAACTCACTCTCTCTGCTCCTACATCTGAGCTGAAGAAAAACAAAACTAAACAGATTGGCACCACTCCAAAAGTATGGTCTCCAACTTCATATGAGCCATTAATGAAGCCCAACAATCCTTTCACCTGTCTTAAATCAGCTCGCTCTCACTCCTGTTTTTCTCAGTGGCTGTCCTAGACATGTAACACCCCCAAAATCCCCTATGCAATTTTATCCTCTACAAAACACTTCTTATTTTGAGGAATATAACATTTTTAGGCACAGAGTATTTCAATTTCTTGTTCTTTCTTCCAACTGTATAAATATATACATATATATATATATATATATATATATATATATATATATCCACCTATCAATATGTCCCTGCCCCCAGTCTTAGATAATAAGTGGCACCCCCCAACCCCTCAACATTCAAGCAAATCCATATATCTAGTTTTATATAAATATATATATATATATATATATATATATATATATATATATATATCCACCTATCAATATGTCCCTGCCCCCAGTCTTAGATAATAAGTGGCACCCCCCAACCCCTCAACATTCAAGCAAATCCATCTACCTAGTCTTAAACCAATGTCTTCATGTTTCTTTCTCTACCATCAATTATCCCCCATCCTTCTTCCATTTTCAGCCTCTCCCTCTTCTCAACTGGCTCCTTCTAATCTATCTATAAACATGCTCAGGTTTCTCTCATTCTGGACACAAAAAAACCTAAAACCAAAAAACCCCAGAACCTTCCCTTGATTCAAAGTCCCACTGTAGCTATCTCTCTACCTCTTCTTTTTAGCCAAACTTTTCGAAACATAGTCCATACTCACTGCCTTGTTTTCACTTCCCGTTGATTCAACTTCCACAATCTGGCTTCTATCCCCACACTCCACTGAAACGGTTCATAAAGGTAGCTAAAACCTCTGTATTATCAATTCCAAAAATTGTTTTGGTCCTTATCATTCTGGATACCTTCCTGGGATATATTGTAATATTATTCCTTCACTCCTTGATATCCCGCATTCTATGTTTCCTTGGCACTATTGTTCTCCTGGTTATTTTTATACTTTAAAAAAATTAAATGTATTGGGGTAACATTGGTTAATAACATTACATTTTCATACTTCTTGAAAAGGTTCTTTCATAGACTCCCTTTCACCTGAAAACTAAATAGTGAGTATCCATTCCCCTGAGTTCTGTCCTTGGTTCACTGTCTGTTTCTCTTCCTCCATCTTTTCCTCTCCCCACAACCCCCGCTCTCAAATATAAATATATGAATGTGTATATAAATGTATATTTACTTATGCATGAAACTGCCAACTGTCAAACATCCCTAATCTACAAAAATGGCAATTTCATATGGTTCAAGCTGATATTTACAGATAAATAGCTCTCTAAATTGGTAGAATAAGAAATAAAGAATACCCGAATTAGAAGATCAGAAGAGAATCACAAAGAGCTATAAAATGAAGTTACTGAAAATGTATTAGCTGAGAGAAGGGGTGTGTATTGTCATATGAATGATATGAATGATATTGGCCTAGTAATAAGTTACTAGACCAATAATATAAATAAACCTCAAATCCAAGTTAATGTGACAGGTAATTAATAAAATGGCATTTGACCATGACAAACACTTACTAGGACAACATTTTATTCCTGTAAATGTGGCCAACAGTAGGTGATTTAAGGTGAAAAAAAATTATAAAAGAAACATCACTTATATTGTCACTCTTTTGAAATAGAAATAACCATTCTATAAGAAAGTGGCTCTCAAACTCAGTCTAGTAGAAGTCATGGAAGCCACAGTGGTATTTTTGGAGAATGCCTCAAAATAGAAACATAATTAATAAGGTTGGAACAATTATATTAGCAGGAAATGACTATATTATAAATATATAATGAGTGTCACAGGGAGTTTTATTTGCTTTGGTCATTACTGTAGTCCCAGTGTCAAAAGGTTGTCTAGCACACAGCGGGTACTCAATAATAATTGGTGAAATGAGTAAGTGTATCTACAAAAATATCAACCACAATGGTCAAACTAAGTATGCTTAAGAATTTCAATTTGCTTTTATTAATACTCATTTGCCACCTATTCGTTCACTTTATCATCTGCTACAAGTGGAAACAGTTTAGGAAAACTGTATGCAACAAAAACCTTAAAAAACAGAAAACCCTATGCATTAACTTTGATTTCAGTGATGCAGCCCCTAAAGTCCAGGTCCAAGAGAATCCTGTTAGAAAACCACTGCCGTAATGTGGGTTTGGAGTCATGTACCACTGGTCATAGAATATTTCCTACTGAATCTAAGCAAGATAGTTGTTTTTTTTTTACCTTGAAATAAACGGTTGATGTAAAGAACAGCTGTGCTAGATGGTCAAAAATAACTGGTTTCATCTCTAGGAGTTAAAAAAAGAGTATTCAAAATTATTTTAATTAACATTACACTGAATTACATATCACATCAAATTTTCATGATACATACCAGAGAAGCTACTAAAAGGAACCCAGCTCACAAGTTGAAGGAACTGTGACCGACAACAGAAGCCATCCCAGAGAGGAAGGCTCTTATACAGGAATGTTTCACAGGAACAAAATCCCTCCTGTAACACAAGTCGATAGTAAAACCTTATCTGGAGCTCCTCAGTCTTAATTGCTCTCTAAACAACCAGTTTATTCTGTGCTATAGCTGTTTTACTCTTAGACTAATTTTGTCATTAATATAATTACAAGTCTTGGGTTAGGTGCCAGGTTTCCTCATAAAAAGCATCAGATGATTAATATTTGGATATATTACCACCTTTATCAACATAGTTTTCAAACAGCATAAACTTCATTAATTGGAAAGAAGGTAAAAAGTCAAGTTATGGAATATTTCTTTTCCTTTTTTTTTTAAGCTGAGCCATCCTGCCACCTGTTGGCAGCTCAGCAGCAGCTCAGCTCGGGCCGGGCATCGAACCGCTGTTGCTCAGAGCTCACACTCTTGAGCGAGCATTTAACCAACTGAGCCACTCAGCTGGCCCTGGAATATTTTTAAAGATTAAAAAAATTGTATGATTTTGGAGTCCATGCAGTCACTTGAACAATCAATAAATGCACACAATGTTATACATAATAAGGCTGGAATTTCATTAGAGGCCACAGACCAAATCCAAATTCTGGACAGCTCCATCTGGAGAGGCCTGAGAGTCTAGGCTGTTTACGTTTCCACCAAAGTAAGGCTCCGGGGCTATCCTTTTCCCTTTTGCCACCCTGAGCCTTAAATAGTTGTGCACACAAGGACTCTACTCTTGACCTTTTCATCACATGAATTCTCTGGACAATCTCATCCATAGCATAGCTAAAACCACCACTTATAGCATGAGGAGTTCTAAATCTGTATCTCTAGCTCAATTCTCATTGCTGAGCTCTTTATCTAATTGCCTACAAAATATGACCTCTTAGGTGCCCCACAGGCATCTTTCAAATCAAATTTATCTTTCCTTCCAAGCCTGCCCCTCCTATAGTCAGTCCCTTTCTTACTGAATGCCATTATCATCCTCCCAAGCAGGAAACCTAAAAAGTCAACCTAAATTCATCTCTATATCCTCACCAGTATCATCCACACCCAACTTCCAAGTCAATGGTCTCACGCCAAATCCTTAACATTTATTCAACAAACATTTATTGAGCATCTATTTTGTACCAGGTACTAAGCTGAACACCTGTATACAAACAAAATTTAGACATGATTCCCACCTACCAGGAGCTCATAATATGTAGAGAAACAGATGCTGAAAGTTCCATGATACAGGTAACCACAGAGAGCTAAGGGAGCACAAAGAACAAACAACACTGGGGTGTTGAGTAAAGGCTTCTTAATGGTGCTGATACCCGAGTCGTAGCTTAAAGTACAACTCAGGGTTATCCATGCCAAATAATTAATTGGCTGGAACATATTCAACATTCAAAAAAATGTCTGTTGATTTTAAGAACACAAATAGTGACTCGATGAGATTTATCTTAGTGGGTAATTCAATTAATTGAATACACTCAATTACATCTTCAGTTTGTTCTCTAAAATTATAGGCCATTCTCTCTTATTTGCATAATTTAACAAATTCTTTCATCAAATCCAACAGTACAAAGACAAACACCAACTTGGCTCTATTTATAATGAGTTTTGAACTGAGCAAATATTGTTTACCAAAGCCTTGGAGCACTAAAGAAAAGGTTTTCAGTGGATGTCTAAATAAATTTGAGTAAGTGGAATCTTACTTGTAAGAAGCACTGTGCCCTGATGAGAGTGTCCAGGAAGTTCGTAAATTCTTTTCTTTGTTCATAATTATTGACCTTGTACCAAATACATTCTGGAGCAGAAATATTATGAAACATAAGCATCCAGTTGCGCAACAATAAAAATGACATAAAACATGATTACTGTAACTCTAAAGTGACAAATAAATGACAAATATAAACATTTATTTATGAGTTTGGTTAGCACTGATCTGAAACTTCCGGGGTTTAGTGGCAAGTTTCTGGAAATACAAAGATGAAGGGGCCTTTGATTGTGATGGTCATCAAAGTGGAGGCACTTTGCATTTTGGTGCCATCTGGCAGTATTTCCTTAACAACACCTCTCCCTTCTTACTGCCCTTAAAATCACAACAATCGACGCATTCAGGCTGACTATATGATTATCTGAGAAATAATTACAGCATATGAAGGCTCCTCCCGTCTAGTTTAGCACCCTTATAAAAGAAACCCATCTGTAAACTATCTCCTTCCTTCCTCATTCACCCAACTTTTAAGTATCTATTTTTACCGTCTTGTAATATCTGGCTCAACCAATGATACAGCCTCAGTAAGATCGAATCATCTTTGACACAGTTTATATAATGAAGTAGCAGAGAATTATTCAGCACTGCACCCATCTGAGAAGGCAGCTGCAAAGACAGAACAATTGGTCAAATGTAAGTATATAAAAAGTAGGTCAGAGCAACAAGTAAATCAGATAGGAAATATATAACAAAAGGAAAGGCCATGAAGAAAAAGTGGAAAGTGCAAATCAGCACATGGTCCAGTCACATACCTCTAAGCAATGAATATTCTGTAAGAGTTGAGGGAAGCTTCTAAGCTTTTCTACTGGAAATGATCTATTGCTACTGAGATAATCAGAAACATTCATTCCTTTTTTTCCATATTCTTTACTGTGGCTACTGGAATTTAGCACTGGTATAAGTGAGTGAGCTTTCCATTTCTAAAGAAGAAAGACAATAAAGCAATCTATCAATGGGCTAAACAGACTACAAATCATAAAAATCAGTTGTTAAAGTGGTTCAATGAATGGCCTCTCAATGTGGTTTGTATAGAATCCTGGGTAATAAAAATGTATTTAAATATCTGAACAGTTATTTGGATTTAATAAAAGAAGGCCTCCCAAGTCATTTAAAGATACTTACTCTTTTTCCAGGACGGACAATAGCTGGACCTAACATCAGCTTCAGAGGTTCTGGAGAAGGTCTCTGATTCCTTTGCCTCACAGCAATTAGAGCTGTCTTCCACAGATTCTCTGAATTCTTAAAATAGATCTATAAATTTGGATGTAAAGTACATGAGAGTAGGTACCCATGAGTTGAAGCAACATAAAATCTAAAATTCTTTATTAATTGAGAGTATATTATGAAATATTTTGCTGCCATGCAAATCTATTTAAATATTTTTTTTACTGATCAGCAATCTATTAAACACATCAAACAGAATCAAAACAAAGTACCAAACCCCCAACCCCCCCAAAAAAAATTCCCAGAAACAATGCCACAATACCAGGTCTTAAAACAGTATGCCATAAACATGTCAGTCCAACTCTGTAAATTAACTTAATCAAAAATAACATATTTCCATCTTAATATGACTCATGGATCCTTAATACCTTACCTTCTTCTTAGGCAAAGATATGGAAATCAACGTAGGAACAAAGAACTTATACAGCAACAACAAAGCCTGGAGATGGGGTTGCCTTCCCTGAAATAAAATAAGAGTTTTCAATGTTCAATTTGAAAAAACAGTAATAATGAAATAATCAGATTATACATATATTCAGATCCCAACTTTACGATGTGATACAGCTATAGGAAGATGCTACAGAAAATCAAGGAATGAGTAACCAAACATTCAAATAAACTATAATAAAACAACCCTTGCAAAGTTGTTGTCTTCTCCTCTATGACCTTTCCCCCTATTTTACTTCTTCCTTGTATTTTCTCTCTTCTCTGCCCATGCCTTAGGCTTACCAGTCATACCTGCTAGCATGGCTTACTCTCACTGGTAGCATATTCAGGACTCAAAGTTTACCCATTCTTGATTTAGAAAAAAAGGGAAGCCAAGGAAATAGAGCAAGGAAAACACTGATATCTCATTACTATAATTCCTGAAAAATCGACTAAGAAATCTAACAATTGGTATGCACTAATTAAGCTGCTTGCTATAACTGAAACAAGTCTTAAGAAAAACATTAATTTTACAACGAGAGAAGTCAATACTGCTGTATACCCGTGTTTGATATATCTGGCTATCCAGAGAAAATATACCACTAAAATGAATTCCAAGGAAGTAAACAAATTGTTTCATTATATGAACATTTTGTTGAATCAAATACTGTACAAAATAAGGAAGGCAGAAAACGGGGCTTAGCAATAGAGTATCCCTATTTTATAGCAGCTTCTTGAAATTAAATTTATTATAAGAAAACCAAAATGATCCAGGGCCGGCCGAGTGGTGCGTTGGTTAAGAACTGGCTTGGGATGCCAGAGGGCCCTGGTTCGGATCCCACATATGAGGGCCAGTGACACTGCCCTCTACAGCTAAGATGCTGAACAACAGCTCAACCTGGAGCTGGGTTGCCATGAGTCGCCGTCGACGGCGTAGGCTGCAGCCCCTGTGGCAGTGGGTTGCCATGGGCTACCGTGTGTAGCCAGCAGCCAGCGTGAGCGGCCAGCAGCCGCCGTCCAGAAGCCGGCGACTGATCTGCCTCACCCGGGAAGAGCGCAATGATGGTGCCAACTTGGGCCAGTGAAGCAACGTCCTCCACAACTAGACAAGAACAAAAAGACAGCAACTTGTCTGTTTTCCTTCCCCCAATTCCTCAATAAAAATCTTAAAAAACAAAACAAAACAAAATGATCCAGTTTTCCTAAGGCAAAATATCTTCTGATCTCTGTACTTATATGAACTATTATCAGAACGCTTGCTTTGAGTTGAGATGTTTTTTGATAGAGCAGATATTTAGGAGTGGGGAGATCTTTAGAACTTTCTGGCTACTTAACTAACCGATCTTTGTGGTTAAAAAAGTTAACACCCTTTAAAATAGGACACTTTTAGTTAAACATGGCATAATGAATGCATGTGTTTAACTCTCGGTCCTCCCGAAGTCTCACTAAATAGTAAAGGAATGAAAAAGGCATAAAGCACAAGTTCAAAGAGAACAAGAGAGGAGACAACAGCAAATGAGAACTCTCCACAAGATTTTGGAACCTGGAATGAAGATGGACAAATAGTAACCACCTTAGCACAACAGAGTAAGAAACCTAAGGCGGCAACAGAAAAAGCCTCAAAAGCAGCAGATTCATGCTTGAGAACTCCCCGAAAAGCTCAAGAATTTGCAGGACTAGATGCTTCTGAAAAATGAAGTGCGAGAGGGGCAGAAAACAGGAGGAATGGTTGAAAGCCTATGTAAGCAGCAGTTAGAACCCCAAATTCCCTCACTACACGTGTAGGCAAATATCAGTGTTTGACTCTGCAGGTGAAGCTGGACTCAGACAGCAGGCACAGCTGAGGGAAGGACCTCTCTCCACCCCTTTCTACTGTTAGTTTCCCAAGTGCTAGTGGCCAGGTTCCTATCCGTGATGGTTCACTGTATGTGTTAACTTGGCTGAGCCATGGAGTGCCCAGATATTCAGTCAAACATTACTCTGGGTGTTTCTGTGAAGGTGTTTTAAATGATTTACATTTAAATCAGTGGACTCTGAGTAAAGCAGATTGCCCTCCATAATGTAGGTGGGCCTCATTCAAGTTGAAGGTCTATATAGAACAAAAAGACCAGCCTCCCCCAATCAGGAGAGAATTCTCCAGCAGACTGCCTTCAGATTTCCTCTCCCTCACCAGCCCTTCCTGGTTCTACAGCAGACTTCCTTTGGACTCAAACTGGAAAATTAGCTCTCCTAGGTCTCCAACCTGCTGGCCCACCCTGTAGATTTTAGACATGTTATCCTCCATAGTCATGTGAGCCAATTCCTTATAATAAATCTCTTCCTATATACTGGGGGGGGGGGCAAAAGATGTATACAAGTGGACACTTTGGTCAACATTGCTCAAGCAGTAGTTCGCCATAATCAGGTGTCTGGATGCTGATGGTAACCACTTTGAGCACCTCTTGTAATTGCAGATGTCAAACGTGACTTGTATTCACCTTTTGTTATTGGTATATATTGAGTACTACGATTTTAATACAGTTTTCCTCTCTTAAAATGTGTATACATTTTTGGCACCCTCTGTATACACACACACATGCTATTGGTTCTGTTTCTCTGGAGAAGCTTGACTAATAAACCCCGAGGTAAGGGACAGAAGTCCTCTCTTTGGGAAAAGTGATACACTCATCTGGGGGACTCCCCAATGAAAGAAACATCAAGTTCCTACAATGAACAAGTCCTACTCACACACACGAGTTTCCAATCACCATTTTAATACTTTACTATTAAATATAGACAAACAACATTTACCACTAGACTTTCGAGAAAAGCCTCTACCATGAAAGATCAAACTGAAGAAAGGCACTCTGAGGAAACAGAGACAAAGCTGGGAACAGAAAAAGAAAATCACAGCCCAAGGCACACAGGCTCATGCTGGTAAGGAGAGAATCCCAGAAACCATCCTCATCAACCCTTAAGGCGAGACCTAACTCCCCCTTCCTGTTGTAAACGTTGTTCTCAACAGGGCCTAGTGGTTATAAAATAACAAACGTACCCACTCTGCATCCCACCATTTATGCTTGCCACGAGAAAGACAACTTCTGTGTTTTGTTTCCTCCATGGATTGGGAGTTATGGGGCATGGATGGGTATGGAGGGAACATATGCCTTTGCAGGTACCAGAAATTCACATATCCAATATATTTGTTCACGTGTGCTGATTATGTCTGTTACAACTGTATATGTTTGCTTACATGTGAGCATGGCTGTCTTCTAGGTTTGATGGTGTTGGACTTGATTAAACTCACCAAAATCCACCTAATCAAAACATCTTTAGGGCCGGGCGAGTGGCGCGATGGTTAAGACCTGGCTTGGGACGCCAGAGGGCCCCGGTTCAGATCCCACATATGAGGGCCAGTGACACTGCCCTACACAGCTAAGATGCTGAACAACAGCTCGACCTGGAGCTGGGCTGCCGTGGGTTGCTGGCGTAGGCTGCAGTCCCCTGCTGCAGTGGGCTGCTATAAGCTACCATATGTAGCCAAGCGGCAGCCAGTGTGAGCGGCCAGCAGCCGCTGTGAGCAACCGTCCAGAGGCCGGTGACTGATCTGCCTCGCCTGGGAAGAGCACAATGATGGCGCCAGCTTGGGCCAGTGAAGCAACATCCTCCACAACTAGACTGAAGAACAAAAAGAACAGCAACTGCAACTTGTCTGTTCCCCTTCCCCCGATTCCCCAGCGCTGTTCCCCTCCCCCAATTCCCCAATAAAATCTTTTTTAAAAACCCAACATTATTATAAATGGGCATTGATAATTGAATTTAGCAACATACTATACAGAATGTTAATAATGAAGCCATACATTTAATATCTGGGTTTAAAATTTTTAGACAATCATGTACTAAATCATTTTTTTAAACTTGAACACACTCTGTTGTTCCAGTTAATACAAATCAGCCAAGAGCTTCTTTATGGTAAGAATTTTCTTATTCTGTTGAAATGTTTGGCTGTTAACATGGAAAAAATGTTTATCTTCTTCACAATTTCTATTAATGTGAAGTGAAATTCAATTTGGACAAAAACATCATCATTAATATCCTCGGAGATCTAAGAGAAGATACTGTACCCATAGAACCCAAAACAAGAACGATCATTGAACTGTACTAACAGGAAGCCTCATACTGGAGAAGCATGAATGTGCACATGTGTCTTTCTTTAAATTTGAGTGTCTTTGGGTAAGTCGTGCAGGCTCCAGCAGTTAGGCGGAGGCGCTACAACTTCCTGTTGTTTTATACCCAAAGCTTCACAGACTTCTGTTACCTGGCAGGTATCGTGGAAATAACAATACAAAAGGGCTATAAGGACAAGAGGCAATGGTCAGGGACGATGCTGAAGTTTAAGTATCCAAAACGAATGCTTTCCTAGATCACATCAACAACAATAAGAAGTAGACTGTTCACTTAAAGAAAATAGTCATTTTTGACTACTCCCTGACACTTATTTTCCAGCCATATCAACCCAGTTCCTGAAAGTTTCTGCTGTTTGACATCTACATGTCTTTGCTCACACTGTTCCCTGTCAAGAACGCCCTGCTCTTCCTGGCCTCGGTAAATTCTCTTCATCCCTTAAATTTCTCTCTAGTGTCAACACTCCTTGACCCGCGTCTGATTCTGCTTTTTTATTTTGTTGACTGAGCTCCCCAGACAATAAGTTCCTTGAAGATAATGACTCATTCAATTTCATATCCCCAACGCCTACCCCAGTACCTATCAGAGAGTATAATGGCCAATTTTGGGTCTTTTTGGTACTCACCATTTTGGCCTGAAGATCAAGGAGCTTTCTCACACGAAATGGTTTGACTAGCAAAGGTAAAAAACAAAACAAAACAGGTACTATGCATGTGGCCAATACAGTTTCTTCTTCTAACACATCAAGAACACAAACACCCTGTTTAGTTAAGCCATTAAGCAGATGCTTTTAGATATAAATAGTAAAAAGCAATTCTCACAAAATCCTGTCACAGAACTAATGGTAATAGTTAACTTTATAAAGGCAAACACACATGCTAATTCTACAGAGTGAATGTAATATAACTGGAATGAAAATACTCACCATTCTCTTTTTTGGTAAGCAAATATAAGAAATGGCAGACATAAGGGCACTGTTAAAATAGAAACATTTTTTAAAAAAGAGAAAAATGACAATATATCTTGAACAGAGCAGCAACACATTTTCCTCAAATGTCAATCTTATAATGATTAAGTGAAAAGGCTTTAGGACATCATCGGACAAAATAGTTGTACAAAGCTTTTCTTTTTCATACTACATAGTAGTGATAAAAGTTTTAATTGACATCCAATTATGCCATTTTAAAAATTATTTTTAGAATATGAAAACACTACAGACAGTTCAAAAAACAGAAAACACCCTAACAAAAATTAATGTATCCCTTTTAGTAGTCCATTATTTATTAAGATACAAACTTAAAACTTTTATCCTGAATTCCCACTTAACAGTGTTTTCTCATGTTGTTTGGTTTTCAAAATGATCATTTTCAATGATCGTGATATTCCAGTTAGTGGATATGTCATAATTTAATTAACCGTCTAGATCTCAGTTTGGTAAACAGCACACACTCAAAGTGTTACTTAAGTTACTGAATGATTGGTTACCTTATACCATTTCATTTTGAGTGTCCACTTATTGAGGTTTTAGTCTAGATCAGGGAACAGCAAACTCCGGTCCACCTGTTTTTGTAAATCAAGTTTTATTGGCACATGTCACATTCATTCATCTATGTATTGTCTATAGCTTTCACTACACCAGCACAGTGAGTAGTTGTAACAGAGACTCTGTGACCCTCAAACCTAAAAATTTACTACCTAGCTTTTTAGGAAAAAATTGCCAACATCTGCTCTAGATGTTAGGAAATTGAAAAATAAATTATTTACTGCAACAAGAGAAGGTAACAAAAGCAGAATTTTGTTAAACAAATTTGTGTTTTGGTAGTCATGTTTCTAAAGTTGAAAATGTAAAGTACAGCATTCCATATTGTTTCTCCTCTACACAGCAATGAGTTCAGAAAGACTGGGCATACTTGTAAGAAAAATGAATTTAGATATAGAATCCTTTTTTAAGGGAAGAATACATATTATGACCATATCTGCCATACTCAAAACAATAACTTTTCATAAAAAAACTCATTACCTCACATCCCTAGGATATGAACCATTAGCAACACTATTTATCATGTTGAGCATGAAACGAGTGTCACACAATCCCTTGCCCTAGGTTCCAGCAGTACAGGAAATCTGACATTGTCCTTCAATTACATCTAGAAAGCAAAAACTCATATGTATCTAAGACTTTACAGTTGCCTTTCTAGCAAATATTATAGTTAACCTCTGTATCTGAGTCACTACACAGTGAGTCTCCCATCAAATTATATGGAAATGACTTTTCTGAAGTAATGCATTTAAAAGTTAGGCTATTTATTGATCTGGGTGATATCTGTACAAATTTGTTAGGTTTATAAAAATTAATTGAGCTGATCACTTATGATATAGGCAATTTTCTGTATGTATATTACACTTCAATAAATATTTTTTAAAAGAAAAAAGTAGGCCCCCTTCCCTGCTGCCAAGCAGAGCAATTAACTCGCTAGTCAGCATTATGAAAACTACTCAAGGACATTGCAATTGATTTGACAAACATTTATGAGTAGTTTCTATTAATTTATTCACTCATAAAACAAATATTTATTGAGTGGTGAAAAACCAGACAAAAAGGCCTGCTCTTAAGTTTACGTTCTGTGTGCCATGAATAGTGTTACTAAATACTTGGGTTATAAAAGGCTCAGTCCCTGCCTAGAGGAACTCAGTCCATTGGGTTATTTCGAGAAAAGGGAAAGCATGCTTTATTATTTCCCATTCTTTACAAAGTATGCATAAATATAGAATTCATTCATATTGCAATTTGGTCAGCTTATGAACAAAACCAATATAAGGTTAAGAGAGATGTCAAGGGCCGGCCGAGTGGCGCGATGGTTAAGAACTGGCTTGGGACGCCAGAGGGCCCCGGTTCGGATCCCACATATGAGGGCCAGTGACACTGC